GTCCAGTACTAGCAACAAGATTGGTTGAGGTCTTAGGTAGAATCTGAGAACTGGACGTAATTCCATCTGACCGGTCCCAATCACTGATTGTGCCAGTCTATAAGAAAGGACTAATGTCCTCCTGTGACAATCACAGAGGGATCAGTTTGACTAATATAGTGTCTAAAATATTAGCTTCCATAATACTTGGACGCCTAACTAAAGCTCGTGAAGAGCAGACTTGAGAAAACCAGGCTGGTTTCCAACCATGACGTGGTTGCGTAGACCAGATATTCACTCTACGCCAGGCCCTAGAACATAGACACACATTCAGACTTCTCACAGTCGTAGTATTTCTCGACCTTAAGGAGGCATTTGACTCAGTCGATCGTGAGGTTCTATGGTAGTGTTTGTCAGTGAAAGGAGTACCAAAGAAGTACATTAACCTCATAAAGGCTCTCTACTCGAACACAACTGGTCGAGTTAGAGCCTATGGCGAACATTCATCAGAATTGGTTACCTCAGGTGGCGTTCGTCAGGGTTGTCCACTCTCCCCACTCTTGTTTAACTTTGTCGTTGACATGCTTTTAGAGATATCACTTTCATCATCTCAATCTCCTGGAGTTGAACTTTTACCGGGAGGCTCACTTGTTGACTTGGAATTCGCCAACGACATAGTTTTATTTGGCGAAGACGCTGACAAAATGTTGAGTCTTCTGACCACTATAAGCAACAATGCAGGCATGTTCGGGATGCGATTCTCCCCCTCAAAATGCAAAATGTTAATTCAGGATTGGGTTGCAGCGACACCTGAACTAATGATAGGGTGTGAAGTAGTTGAGCGTGTTGACAGCTTCACTTATCTTGGGAGTCTCATCAGCCCTTTTGGTCTGGTGTGTGACGAAATCTCAGCACGGATACAGAAGGTTTGTCTGGCTTTCGCCAACTTGCGCCATTTATTGCGTAGGCGAAATATCCGTCTAGCAACAAAAGGACGGGTTTACTATACAGCAGTTCGTTCCGTCCTACTTTATGGCAGTGAAACACGGCCGATAAGAGTTGAGGATATTCGTAGGCTACTAGTACTTGATCACAGGTGTCTTCGACGCACTGTTCGTATGTCCTGGGACCACCGGGTAAGTAATGCAGTTGTTAGGATACAGGTACTAGGTAATGATGGCAAATGGATTGATGAATTAGTGAAACTTCATCAGTTGAGATGGTTGGGACACGTGTTACGTATGCCCAACCACCGAATGCCCCGACGTGCAATGTTTCATGGTGTAGGAGTAGGTTGGAAGAAAACTAGGGGTGGCCAGACCAAAACGTGGCACAAATCCACGAAGTCAGTGACAATTGGACTGAGCCATGTTTGTAGGTGTAGACTACCTGGTTGGGATTCGCGAGATGATAGAAATTGATGGTTAGAGACCTTGAATGACATAGATCAAAATCGTTTGCCATGGCAAAGGTGCATCCACTCTTTGTGTTCTTCGTAATTCTAATCTTCTGAATTCTTCATGTTCCTATCTTTTTTCTCTTTCCAAATTTATTTCATTGGATTATACTCCTTCAATAATATCTTCAAACCCTTATTTTTCACATAATACTTATACTCTTACTACTTCTACTAATATGGGATTTCAATCGACAACTTCATCTCTGTGCTAATGTGGTATGGCAACTCGAACTGATGTACATACGTACGAAGTTCTACTTTGTAACTGACTGACTGACTGACGAGCCACGAAATCAGTTCGGAGACTCAAATTCAAACCTTATGAAGAACGCCTCCAATTACTTAACGTTTACCCGTTAGATTATAGGTGTCTTAGAGGTGACCTTCTTATGACTTACAGTATCCTTAATACTTCTGGTCATCCCCTTACACATCTTCTTAAGCTTAGTCACAACACTAACCTAAAAGGTAACACCCAGAAACTGGAGACCCAACATAGCAGAATAGACTGCAGACACAACTTCTACTCCGTAAGAGTTGTCAAGTGCTGGAATTCGCTGCCGACTAAGCTACTCCAAGCGACTTCCCAGGAGTCCTTTAAGAGGAAACTTGACTTATTCTTAAGGACTAAGGATGACTTATTATGATTTAACAAATTCTTTTTTTTCTCTATTATCAGTTTCAGTTTCAGTTTGGAAAGGACAGGAGGCTTGATGGCCTGTGTTAGTCCTGGCAATGATGGTGTCTCAGCTGATCCAACTTTCTTTTGAAGGAGTCGACGGATGGAGCCTCAACCACGTGCTGAGGTAATGAATTCCACTCGTTGATTATTCGATGGGAAAGTCGGTAGTCAGCTGACAGGTAATTCGTTCTGGGCTTGTGAACTTTTTTGGAGTGTCCTCGTAGATTTTCTGTTTTGGAAGACAAGAAAAATGAGGGCATATCAGGTGCAAATTTGTCATTAAGCAATTTGAAAACTATAATCAAGTCACCTCTGATTCTTCTATATGACAGCGGGAATAGGTTTAGCTTGGTCAGTCTAGTACCATACGGGAGCTTCGCTATTCCGGGAATCAGCCTAGTTGCTGTTCTCTGTAACCTTTCCAAGAGTTCACTGTCTTTTTTTAGGCAGGGGTTAGCTGCTTGTATACAGCACTCAAGTTTAGGGCGTACGAACACTGTATACAAAGTCAAAAACGTTTTAGCGTCAAGATGCCTAAAAGCCCTGCGTATGGACCATAAAGTCCTAAAACCTTTGGCGGCTATCACACCGCAGTGTGCAGTAGTCTTTAAGTCTTGACTGACGATGACGCCTATTATCGTTCATATACCTAGGTTTTTGCCTGGATTTATTGGCGATCCACTGCTACTAGACACAGAAGCCCGTTAAGCGAAAACTTCTTCCATACCGTCCTCAACCATTTGAACCTATGATTTATGGACGACCTTTGAGCGACCCTAAGGTGACCTTGGGATCGTCCACCTAATAACTAAGGCCTAATGAGAATTGTAAACCCGTTACCTTTTGCCTGTTTGCTTCATCCATGAATTATAGTCTCGCCATAAATTATTCCTAGTCTCCAGATTATAGTTAGAAAATAGGTGGTTATCAAATGAAACAAGTTACTGTACTGCGAATTTGAAGTCAGCAGTACTTGATTGTATTATGAAATCGTGAAAGATTGAAACAAATAATAATGAATCGAGGAAAATGAAAAAAAACGATTGCAATGGTCGTTCACCTGAAGGACTGAGTTAACGACAGTGTGATCGCGTAAATGTAAGAATTTAACATGGGACTGACTGCAATTCTTATGCTTATGAAAATGAACAAATCAGAATGCAGATAGGGATTTGGCGCAAATATTCAGCTGACAACTGCCTGTAATGCTTTTGGGTTTTTTCTTCGTGGGACACCCTCGCAGTTTGTATTTATTATTTTTGTAGGACTGTAGAGTCCGCTGTCAGTCTTACGACCGGAATGAATCGTCACAGTAATAATTCTATGAGTGTCAACTCCATCCCCGAGGCTGATACCACGTGCTCGGGTAAGGCGTTCCTATGATTAACTATTCGATGAGAAAAACGGAGCTTCACTCCGGGTTTAACTGGTTATGGCTTTTTGGACCTTCTTGCTATGACCTCGTTATTGAAGATACAGAACGCTAACATAAGGTCACTTCGCGTTCAATGGTGCGATTAGACGTAAAGGTTCGAGTGTTACAAGCGTTTATCGTTGGAGAGTTTAGGAAAACCCTTCACTTACTTTGTTCCCCAACGCTGAACACCCGAGTGTCAGCATCTTCAATATGACATGAACCAACTGTCTTGCATAAGTGGAGTGTAAAATCTGAAACGTCTCATTAAAGCATTTGAATTCTCAGCGAAGTGACAGTCACATTCGAAAACATTTGTGGGCTGCTGTGTTGCAATCTATAATTTCTTTTCAGTTGTGACTTATTGTTGTTCCTGTCTTTCTGTCCCTCCACGCGTGGAATTGATGTACAGTTAGCGGTATACTGGTAACTATTACCGTGTTCGATGTGCATTAGCATATTCCCTAGAATCGATTAATAAGCCCCGACTTTGGGACCATCTAACCAATTCGTCTGGGTCAGCTGGGAGATCAAGATGATCGGTCTCACTTCTGGGACTAGTATAAGCAAATTTCCGGATATATGTTGCTTTCATTTCCCCGCTGTTTTCGGCTTAAGTAATGGTCAGTACTAGTGCATGTTTGTTGTATCTCAAAGTAGACTCAAGTCTATTAATGATAATGCTGCTAAATGCTTTTAGTTAGTACATCACATTGAACAGTCCCAAAATCTCAATATTTTCGGTGGTGATTTACAAGTGTGATTAAAATATTCGTTCATTTAAGATGGGGACATATAAGTTGTCTCAGTAACTTTAAGTCTGTCCCAGGAAACATTAACACGAAAAATGCTAGGAACCCCCGATTGTGTTAGGTATTTTCTATATATGTAAGGCAAAATGCTTATAAGTTGGACTTGGTTGTTTGTCAAAACACTTCCCAACGTCTAGCTAGTCAGCTTAGTAGCCTCGCTCCTGTTAGCCTTGGCGACGAACACACATTGTTCTTTTCAACAGATATCGACTTCCTTCGTGTTTGTCTCCCTAATACAAAATTTGAGAGCTGGATATGAGTGTCGTTTGATTCTGTTGTATCAAAACTCACATTAAAGATCTTCAGTTACTAATTACTAAAACTGCTAATTACCATAATGCTCAGTTCATTACTGAGCATCCTAGATTACTCATATTTTCGTTTGATCTTATCAACCTACTCCTACGGTAGTGAGTATATCGTGGCTAGCCGTTGGGCATGGATGAAGCTTCATATCCCCCGGTAAATTTTTATTTGGTGTTGAATGATTTTGTTGGTAGTCTCAATAACCATTCATGTATTACTGTCTATCCTTTTTTCTCCTCTGGACAGTAAGATGGGTGTTTAAATCAAATGTCACTTCTTAGAACTATTATTACTTATCTATATTTGTTTGTCTCATTGTTGCAGTCCGCCTATGTCCTGCTCCTTGATTAATCTGTTTCGCACACATCATTGGCTGATATTTACATCGTTAATAACCATAATAGCATTTTAGGAAGAGCTGAAACCGATAAGTCCGACAGACACTAACCGTCTTCCTCCAAACAATTACATGCAATGTTAGCTGCTTGCTTAACAAATAAACTTGGCATTGGTTTATTACCAAGTTTTGGTCTCCGTGCTCCGGAATTCATAATCAGAAGGTATCTGCTTTCTCCCAGTCGCCCAATTAAGTAGGTTAACGTTGATTATTTAATGTCTCGCCACAGATTAGAACTAATTGGTCACCTCCAAAAGGCCTCTGAGTCTTTATATGAGCCTGGTCAAATATTTTTACACAAGAAATTTGGTTATCGTGGTATTGTGCTACAGTGTTGGAAGGGAAAACTGTTCGATCGTAATCTACAATCTACCGAATCAGTGTATGTTTACTTTATTGTCTGCTAGTCTGATTTAGAGAACTAACGTCTCGTGAATCTCCAAAAGGAGAAGAATCTGAAATAAATGTTTACCAAGTTCTAACGGATCAAAGCGATACTGAAATTTGTGTACGTGGTCTAGTTTTTGAGCTCTAGTTTCTAGAATTCTGCTTTAAAACCTGGTATTACTTTTTTACCTGATGATAAACGAGCGTTTAATTCCATATATATAGTGTCAGGTTTGTTTAAATTTCAAATTAACACTTACAGAAATGGACTATGTTTTCCATGATGATATCATACCTTACGTTCCGCAGGATGCGTCGCCAATTAAAAATCAATATTTTAGTGAATTCTTACTTTCTACTCCAGACAAAGGTAATTCTTACAAAGCGTTGAAGTAATAATAGTTTTCAGTGATTTGCCATTCGGCATCCACCTTTTTTATGTTCCTTTGTTTTTTATGCATACACAATTCATCTTCTGTTTCAGCTATCTAGAAAGTAATTGACTATCGATTTCGAAATAATGCTGTTTCACAGCATATACAATTCTCACTAATAATAAGAGTTAAATTTTATGACTTCTCTTAAATGTCTAATTTTTTAACCCTTCAATTCCAGTACGTTCAAATAGTTAGCCATAGCAGCCCGTAGTCTGAGTTACCGTAGTGGAGTATAGGTATTATACTAGTTGTAAATGAAAAAGAATGAATGGAATTTCAAAGTACTTCGTTCATTGTTTACCAGTAGTTACTAATAATATACCAAATCATATTATTCTGTCTAATATAGAGGAACATTTGTCCGTAGATGTCTCCCATCTATATTAGCCCATAAGTAACTAACAATTTTAGAAGCTAAAATCATTTGGACATTATTTCCTAATAATTACGTATTTCGCTGTAGTAGCCGTTTAGGAAGCTCATTTGTTTGTAGCTGCTAACAATTTAAATAATTTGATTGATATCTATAATTCTGCATTCATTGAAATGGGTTCTGTAATGTGATTCGTTTTGGTTCCATAATCTATGGCAAGTTCCGACTTGTAAATAAAGCAACTGCCTTGTGCAAATTGCTTCAGTAAGCGGTAGTGTCTAATAGTTCTAATCATCAATAAAGTAAAAGTCTCTATCTTACTATGATGAAGATAAACAGACTTTACATTAGCATTTTATTCGCTTGAGATTTGTATACAAATATTTGGTCCCAGTTTTGAATGTGGTATCAGTGACAAACTACTTGATTATTTGTAGGACAAAAAAATTACTGCAGTAGGAGGATATCAAGAATGTGCCACGCAAATGAAACTTTGTTATGCAATTGGTTCCCGTTATGAATTTGAACGATATTGTTTTAGAGACAGAAAAGAAGAGATCATACATTTTCTAGTTAAAAGTATTGACAAGAGAGCTTTTTAGTTAAAGAACTTTATCTCACGTTTATGAAGGATATGATCGGAGACTTGTATAGGATCTCCAATGTTTTCTATTCTAAGCCGTATCTGTCAAAGTCTAAAATGACTGAGTTTCATGAATTCTAGGGCACTAGCCGGAGAGATGAAAGTGGTCGACGGGTCACAGTTCTGTACAATACTGTGGCGTCCTGTCACAAACTGGCCTCACTTCTTTTCACCGAATTCAGGTATCGGTAAATAATCGATTGTGTGGAAGCCTGCATGACATCAGTGGAAAAACAGTTAAAACATGGATAGCTATGACTTAATTAGCGCAACAAGCCAAAGTGATTACAATCATTTGAAATAATCCATACATACAAAACATTGATGTGTAATCCATCGGATAAATAAAAAGCGTAACAGAGCCTTATATATTATATATAGACACAGTGCTCACTTAGTATCATAAAGGTCTGTTTAATTGTATCATTTTATCGGATCTTTACCACAAATAGATTGTTACGATTAATGTTTTGTTAATGTCTCTCAATGTAGATTAAATCTTAAATTAAAAATTGTCACATGTATCCTATAAAGCTGATTGCTACTATTAATCTCACTCATTTAAGTAATAATTTGAGAAACGAAGGTAGAGTGAAATCACTACTAAGTTGACAAAACTATATTCAGCTAGAGAATTCTCTTCGTAAAAGTTGTGCATTTTCTATATAGTCTGGGGTTTTTCAAGCCAATGAAGATACGTGGAAGCAAACTGCACAATTGTGGCCATCAAATAACGAAGTAGAGGAATTCACAATTAAATCTTCGATCTACAAAATGTTACGAAAGCCAAATTAATGTGAAACTGTTCTTTGACCAAATATTCGAAACAAATACATCCTCTTCAGTTTCGAAAATATATTGCCGTTGTAATAAAATGGAACAGAACTTAGTCTTATTTGGCCTTAAAAAAGCATCCACGTGTAATTCAAACTTGATAATGTCTATGATTCGTGTTATATCTCTTTGAAGCCTCATTTTCGTTACTCCTATCATATTTTATTCAATTTAAACTGTTCAGATTAATATAAGTTCAACAGAGCTTAAAAATTTCGACTTCAACGTAAAGTCTCTAAAGGTTATAAGCAGAGTTGGATTGTAAATTGATTGTATAAAAACGGAACTGTTTTGTTTTCTTACATATTTAGGGTGATAAAATATTAAGCGCAAAAGTACTTAGTACTCTACACAGTTATTTGAAGAAAATCTTACTTCCTAAATTATTTATCTCTATCTGATTGCTTAGTTTCATGAAATATTGTATCTGTTAAAATTATGAATGTTTGCAAATATTCTCTTACAAAAGATCCACCATTTATTCCGACCGATCACTTAAAACGCTGGATCGAGGCGCGAAAGCAAAGTCTAGAAGTTACATCGATACATCGCGAAGTGACCGAAGGTATTCAAACAACAGTATTGCCTTTTTACATGGGCCGTCGAGTAACAGAGGTAAGTTATTAAATATAAATTTTATGCAACCCAATGTATCCTCTATTGCTTTATAAAAACCAAGTTGTTTTCCTTTCAGGACAAAAAAGAAAATGATGTACGCTACGTAAGTTTGTTTTTCACAATTGTGTCGTTCCGTAATATTCAATATTTAAAATGTAAATTTTACGGTAAGCAGCTCTCGAAAGATAAAAAATCATAAAAAGGTAGTTTACTGTTAGACTGTAAATTAAACTGATTAATCACTAAGCGGTAAGAATTGCCACCTCCACATAGTACTTAGTGTTCTTTGAATTCTATTGATCATGTAATGTGTTCATTTTTTTAAGTGATTCTACATCGCGTGTGCTACAGTTTTATATAAGGTAGTCGGAGGTAATCGGTAGAGAAACCTACCCCTACACGTAGATTTCATGTTCGTTGCCATTCTTCAGTAGGACGTATCTGCAATATCAAGGGTATCCGACCATCCTTAGGGCCTAGACAAGCACAACAAAGTTTACCACTTAATGACAAATCAATCTAGTTATCTCAATTCTGAAAATTATCATTCTTAACCCGAATACCTCGGTGGTAATGTATTATACTGGGAAACTGGCTTACATCCTACAATAAGAACTAATTCTCTCAAGATTACAGCCGTGTCTTGCTAACGAGTTTCAACTGACACGAAATCTAAACCCACGGTTTGTTGCTATCTCTAACCATCTTACACCAACGTGTAGATGGTTTTCGAATCCCAGCGGAACATTAATATCATCATGAATTGGATTTTTTTATTCACTCCTGTAGTTTTTTATGGGTGACTTCAGTTTAAATCATTTAAAACAAATGACACCTCACAACCTTTACTCAAACGTAGTGTATAGTAACAAAAACTAGGTCCAGTATTCAAGTACAAGTTCGTGTAATCAGCCACGCACCACGTTTTTGGAGCCAGATAGATGTAGCACACCAAATAAAAGTTTATTAAATAGTTTCAGATGACCGTAAAATACGATGGCAATCGACTTAATGACAATTAAGTATTTACAGTGAGAATGGTATATAAAATGAATTTGAGTCTATTTATTTCGAAATAAAATATTTGATTACATTCCAAAATGAAACAATTGTGCATAAAGTCGATGGGTTACATCCTAGGTCAAATTTTTTACGCCTCATTGGAATATGTGAAGTGCAGTAAAGACTCAGACTTCTTAATAATGAATTGTTACATCTTCAGAAGAGAGAAAGTAGTTAATAACAAGAATATTTAGATATATACGGATTATCGTACCGCAAGCTGTAGGTCGCGCAGTCATACGACGTATGAATTCATTACAAAATGGTCGACGAAGCGAAGTTATATTCCAGATAAATGCTAAAAAGACAGTCATCAATGAAAGATTACGTAGCTTCTTCGCCAAGTTCCCACATCGAATAATGGCTAGTGTCAATCGTTTTGTCGTATATAGTATCAGCTCAACTTTCAGTTGTTAATCTAGTGAAACAGATAATTCAGCGTGTACGAGATAAAAGGTGGGCGCCCTTACCAAATCGAAGTTCCTTGAATTGGCTAAATTTAACCTCTGAATATAGAGCGACTGGTAAGGGAGGGAATTTCCTACTTCATAACACTGGACTGAGAGAAAGTAGAATTTCGATACTTTCTACATCTCAGTCTGGAACTTTTGAAACAGTGTCCTCATTGGTATACTAATGGGACATTCGGGATCTCACCACTTTTATTTAGTCAGCTATACGCGATTCACTCTGTGAAATCCGTTACGATCTTTCCATTGGTTTACATTTTTAGTGACAGAAGTAGGGATTCGTATGCGTACATATACAGTATAATAGTTCACTAAGTTTCACTGAATACGATAAAGGAGGATATTTTCGGGAATACATATAATGAAAATGCTAAGTACCATCTCTTTACTCTTCACTAGACGTTTAAAAAACTACATTTTTGAATGGTCATTAGGGCAAAGGGACAGAGTGGATCGAATAGGTTTCACAACTTTAAGTCATTGTTGGGAAGGCTCGATAAAAGACTGTCAATCGTTCCCGAATATATGTTCAGACTCTGATCATGCTTTATTACGAGCACGCATTTGCTTGCGCCTCAATGGACGCAGAAAAACCACATTAAGAAGACCCATTTGAATTGAACTCAGTGACGAGAAAGTCAAAAGTAGATTCCAGGAACAACTGAGTTCACATCTAGGCAGTTCTGAAAACGAGGCTGACCCAGATGTTGCTTGGAAAGTTATATGAACAGCTGTAGAAACAGCAATAACATCTGTTAGTAATTTAAACGAAAGGGTTACAAAAAACCAATGGATTTCTAAGTCCGTCGCACTGATGGATTCTCGTAAACTCATCCCATCAGGCTCTGAACACTAAGAACGAAAACAAATCAGATCTAGGTTAACCAAAAATATAAAGAGCGACCATGAGCAGTGGTGGGCAACGAAAGCAAAAGAGATGGAAAAGGCAGCAGCTGTAAACAACACCAGACAGTTTTGCAGGCTAATAAAGGAAACCAAAATTAAGAAGGCAAGTGTAGGTGAAACGATCTCGGAAAAAGACGACACTTATCTTCTCAGTCTAGGCGTTTAGAACAATGGGCGAAACACTTTAAGGAGCAGTTCAGCTGGCCTTCAGCTACTCTATGGCTACCCACTATTTCCAAACAGCCTGAATGGAACATTAAAGTGGGCCCCCGACCCTAGCTGAAGTTCAAAAGGCTATAACTAATCTGAAACGAGGAAGAGCAGCTGGTCCTGATGGATTGGCTCCAGAGGTCTTTAAATATGGTGGTCCAATTTTAGTGACTAGGTTGACTAATATTCTGGCTAAAATCTGGGAGTTGGACTTAATCCCATCCGACTGGTCACAATCACTGATTGTCCCAATATAGAAGAAGGGGTCCAAATCATCCTGCGATAAACATAGAGGGATTAGTCTGACTAACACAGCATCTAAAATATTAGCCTCAATAATTATCGGGCACCTAACTAAGACTCGTGAACTGCAAACACGAAAAAATCAGGCTGGCTTCAGACCTGGTCGTGGCTGTATCGACCACATATTCACCATTCGTCAAGTTTTAGAGCACAGACATGCTTATCGGCGTCCGACAATGATAGTTTTTCTTGACTTGAAAGCAGCATTTGACTCTGTAGACCGAGAGGTTCTGTGGCAGTGTCTGTCATTGAAAGGTGTATCTGAGAAGTACATAAACCTTGTGGAGGCTCTTTACTCGAACACTACCAGTCGAGTAAGAGCTTATGGTGAACTGTCATCTGATTTTACAAATTCAAGTGATGTCCGACAAGGTTGTCCACTATCCCCATTTTTGTTTAACTTCATTATAGACCTGTTGCTGGAAATAACACTCTCGTCGACTGAATTTTCAGGAATTAGTCTCCTGCCAGGAGGTCCACTTATTGACTTAGAATACGCAGATGACGTAGTCCTGTTTGGTGAAGACGCTGACAAAATGCAGTCTTTTTTTAGAACTGAGTAATAATGCCAGGATGTTTGGAATGTGTTTCTCCCTCTCTAAATGCAAGTTTTTGCTCCAGGACTGGCCTGCGTCAACACCTGAACTGAGGATAGGGAGTGAAGTAGTCGAACGCGTCGACAACTTCACTTATCTTTGAAGTCTGATCAATCCTAATGGGTTAATGTCTGACGAAATCTCAGCACGGATTCAAAAAGCTCGTTTGGCTTTTGCCAACTTACGTCATCTATGGCGAAGACGAGATATCCGTCTATCAATTAAGGGACGGGTATACTGCGCAGCAGTTCGCTCGGTTCTACTTTACGGCTGCGAAACATGGCCATTAAGAGTAGAAGATACTCGTAGGTTACTAATATTTGACCACAGATGCCTTAGAAATATTGCTTGCATCTGCTGGGATAACCGGGTAAGCAATAGTGAGGTTAGGTATTAGGGAATAATGGTAAATCAGTTGATGAGGTGATGAATCTTCATCGACTGAGATGGTTGGGCCACGTGTTACGTATGCCTGAACACCGATTACCACGACGCGCTATGATGACTAGTATTGGGGATGGTTGGAAGAGTTAGGGGCGGCCAAACCAAAACATGGCATCAGTGTTTGAAGTCACTAACTTCTAGCCTGAGCCATGTTGGCAGATGCAGACTACCTGGTTGGGGTCCGCGTGACTATCGTAACCAATGGTTGGAGACTCTAGGTGACATGGCTCAAAATCGATCACAATGGCGTAGGTGTATACACATTCTGTCTTCTCTTAAACTGTGAGATTAAAATTGCTTCATATCTTTTTTCCTGTACTATATCCTTCTGTACAATCTATAATTTATATACTACCACCAAAACTAAATTAACTACTATGAATCCGGTGTTCATCTTGTTGCGCTAACAAGGTATGGCAACTTGGACCGATGCATATATGTGCCTGGTCCTACGTTGTAGCTGACTGAACTACAAAAAATCTAATCAAATCCCTTCGCAGACGTCGAATTACAGAAATAATAGAGTAGAAAAATACACTTAGTGATTCGAAAAATCAAACCAGTATTAAAAACCATGTAAAGGACTAATTACGATGTATTTCAGTATTCTATTTACACTGATTGTTATTACACTTTTATCGAGTTCTTCAAAATAAAAATGGCATTTGCATGTAAGTAATAAATGTTCCTCACTAAATACAACACGGCCTAAAAAGGTAATGATTCCATGACGACTGTGTTCAGCGAGACAGACCCAGATACCTAGGAGCGTAATGTAAGACACGAGGACCTTCGACCTATGCAGAGCTGAAGACAGTACGGTTTTTAATTTGCTGACTGGATTTGTAGTCAACATGCATACTGACGTTATCTTGTAACATTATTGTTGAAGTTTTGTTGGTAGTTAAATGAAAGATGTCTTTTTGGTCAGTCAGGATAATTATGTGGATTACGCAGAGAAAGTCCGTGGGCCGACAACAATCGTTGTAACGGTTTCATGAAACAGGCTTACACAGAACTAATGTTGATCATATCCCGAAAACTATCCAGCGTGTTGTCAGGTAAGGTCTCCTTGAATTACGTTTTATATGGTCACAGAGGTTGCGTAGAATCCTCATATTTTGTACTGAACAGAAGGATTAGTAACCGAGTAAGCTTAACTATCTAGTATGTTTTACATTCGTGAAGATAATCAGTGTTTAAATAATCAAGCCGCGATCTGACTGAAATACTATTCATATACAATTTGCATCTAATAATCTCGAAAACCACATCACACTAACATCAAACGAAATGACATGTTCCCTAATTTCTTCCATATTTGAAATAGTGGCGCTATTTAATCCGGTTAGAAAACCTCACGATGGACCGCGTTCAACTACGTGAACGCTTTTTGAAAATTTTCTCAGTGTCCGGAAACCTTGAATCAATCGGTGGAAAAGGAGTTGTAGGGATGGTAAGTACGATGTACTTCACGCATATTATGATTTACTTTTCCCTGTTAATTTCAGCAACCTGTCCTTTCTCCAGAATGTCCTGTTTTTCAGTATCACAGTCATATCCACTTCTCTATGGAATGGGCACACATGTGGGGAACGTTTCGGTTTGAAAGACACAATGGTACTAGTTTAGATGTTAAAATACCATCTTTCCCGCTGTATGATCCCACGTGTTCTTCAAACTCGAGTAATGAAAACCTTGGTTAATTATCGACAATCGTCTTCTTACGAGCATGGCTACCTGAAGTTGACGCTCCCAAGACCATAAACGATTACAACACGCACCAAAACATTGTAACCATAATAAATAAAAGGTTTAGATTTCTACCGAAATTCCGTTTATTTGTACTTCACAAAATGCGTCCAAATGATTTGCCTTACTTCACAATAAGAAAATGCACATCTATTCACTCATGAAATATGTTGCATAGTTCATTAACTTTAAAACCAAGAAGTTATTTTTGAAATCTGCAAGGTAACACTATAGGGAAGAAAATATCTCAAAATAAACAGTTTAATGAAAAATTAGGGTGCTTAATTAGCTTCAATCAATAACTCCCAGGGAGAGCACGGATAAGGGGAAATCTTGGCTTGTTTGTTTGTAATTAGAAAGTAAATGAAAAACAAATAATTTGATTTTGATATAGTTCTAATTTTTTAAACTCCTATTTGCATATAACTACGAAAATCTAGACCTAAGGCGCTTATCTGAAGATTTTCTGGGATATACATATATGGTGAGGTAGGATAATTAGTTTCTCTTTTGCATGGTGAAATGTAAGTTGTGCAATATACTTCGCGAAATGATTACACGTAAGGAAGCTTGAAGTAAAGCAGTAGTATATAGATACGTATGTACTGACAATAAATCATTTATACAAACAGGGTGGAATAAAAACAGTAACTAAGAAATCTTCAAAATAAAATAAAAGGCAGTTTAGACACCATATAGCAGTGGCCGTAACGCGGATTCTAATCACAGTACTTCCCGACTTAAAATAAAGCATTTGTAATGAAGATGAACAGCATAATTGTGACCGGAACGGTGGTTCGTGGGTATTCAGGATGAAACGGCCAGTAGTTATAGCTCTTTTTTCTATTTCCGTCGCTTTAATTATAACGGTGAAAAAGATAACTGGTAAGCACAGTTTCCTTCACTTGTCTATCCAATGAGCAGTGTGAAATTACTTGGAACAAATGACTGCACGATACTGGGTGATCACTTGTAGTTTCAGTAAATGATAATACAAAATTATGAATTTCATTATTTCGGAGACTCATGTACCAGTAAGTTTTTCCTTAATTCGCGTTGAAGACTTGTTTCGTACGTAGTCAGATTTCGGAATAATACGAGTTGGTTCGGTTGGTGTGCATGACGAATTGTTACGACTGTCATTATCACCGGCGCTAGTGGCAGTCATGTCTCCTATCCCAGAACTAACTGAATCCTCAGAATCATGAACTGAACCAGGAGAGGTAATTTTTTCAACTTGTTTGGAAAGCTTATGAGATTGATTGTCGTCAATAGCTGCGCATGTAGAATTTCCAGTTGATGAAATTAGCCCCGGTAACAAAGACGATCCACTATCCGATTGATTTTCAGATGCAAGAGATACATTTATTGCAGCATCAATTACCATATTATCTGCTGTTGTGTTGTTATCAAGATTTCCTTTTATGTCTGGAAACGTTGGTAACTCTTTGAGCATCGTATTATTGGCTACCGAAGTAGAGCCATTTGTGTTAATGACTGTGAGGTTAATGGGTATAGGCGTCAAACTTAATGAATTGAGTGTTCCACGTATCGACTGGCCATGGTTGTGACCCTGCCACCTTGTACCATTTATATGTGTGGGCAACTTAGGTTGTATATTCACGGGTGGTTGCAACAGTATAGGATAGATCAAGTTATTTGTATGTTGTGGGGGGTTCGGTACCATTAAGCCACATCTACTATCTGAGCTTAGATTGTCCGATGACTCAGAGACTGGGACATTTTGGACTGTTTGATATCCATAGCTTTGCATCGGATACACATTCTGTTGTAGACGTTGTAAAGGGTTCTGCGCGCCAGAAGATTGTAACGATAACTGTGAAGCGGTGTAGTACACTGGCAATGGTACAGGGGTGGGGATATGAAAAGGATTAGTTTGAGATACAGGGTTCTGAAAATAAGGTGTAGCATTCGACTGTTGTGCAACAGCTGACATGGCAGCTACTGCTTGGAGGTGATTCAAAAGTGCATTCGACGGTCGTTGTTGGTTGGCTCCAATGGGACTAATGTTTGAAGAATTGGTTAACAACTGGTTGGGGAAATATTGCGGTTGATTTCCATAGTGGTTTGAATTAATATTATTACTGGTGCTTGTACTCATTGATGCTAAAGCAGCTGCTACAGCTAGATTGAAAGGTTGATTAGTGTTACTTGTTTGTGGTATTGTAAATGGGACAGAATATGACTCTATAACATTCCCTGTCTGGCGAATGTAATAATTTGGCAAGTGCGTTTGACGCCGTATTGGTACTACACTTGAATGTGTACTGTTCGCAGCTGGGAGATGCGGGCGCTGATGATAGTCCCACCCGAACGGCTGATTTTTATTGTAATTTGTTGAATTTGGTTGATTTATAGACTGAGGAACTATCACATGTGCAACACGAGAATATGGATTATACTGTTTCGTAGGCCGTTCAAATATCCAAGGAGCAGTATTACGACAGGGTACTACTGAAGGACCCCCCGTGCCGGTACATTCTATATGAATATTGCTGCAGTTCTCCATGCCGCATAGAGGCAACAATAATGGAATGGACATTTGATGAGACGCAGGTGCTATGCAAACATTTGTTGTCACCGGGGTTTTAATTAAAGTACTTGTTTGTAGAAGCTCTTTACTTGTTTCAGGATTCATGTGTCCAGATCTTATAACGCCATCAGATCGGAATTTATCTGAACCAGCAGTTCTCAACACAGCTACGGATTGAGGACTGGTAGTAATTGGCTGATCAGGCAAATGTGGTGGTTGGAGAGAGAAAGACCCAATCAATGAGGTTAAATTCTGGGACGATGCAAAAGTCGATAATCCATTATCAGGTTGCACATTTATTGAAATATCTGGATTCGTGGACAGACCAGGATCTGAAATAAGAATTTAACACAAGCGATGAACAAGGTATACTTATTTTTAAATCAGAAAATAGAAACTAGTAGACAAACAGGGTGTAATAAGTCCCCTGATAAACAAGTTCTTAAATCAACCCTTAAATGAAAACGCAATTTGATTTCGGTAACCAAAGAACCTTTTAGGTTTTCTAACAAGAGAAATAGGGTGTTTAGTAGTTCATAATCAGAAAACGAAAAACTGCTTAGTGCGCACTGTCTAACATGAAAAATTTATATGCTCAAGCTAAATTAATCCTGCTGTATATTACACTATCTGTCAAAACGTAAATAAATGAAACCGTGACCAAGTGATGAAATGTGAAGTATGTAGAACCACAAATCCACATTTGAACTACTGAAATGTCAAAGGCAAGTGAAATCAAATAATTCTGAATCTAACGTAAATTTTAAAAAAAACTTACAACCATCAATGCGGCGAACACCACGCATTCCCGCATTCATATCTTCAACACAAACAATCTTACTGCCAAGTAAAGCTTTTTCCACTTCTTCATGAGTAGTATTTAGAGCTGCTAAACGAGGAGCTTTGACAAGCTTTTCGATTGGCAAAATCAGTCGATCAACAAGCATATTCAGGAACGTCTGATCCCGGCACAAGTTTTCTCGAGAAAAATAATGATGACTTAAAGAAAACAGCAAGATATTAATGCAATTAAAACACTATTTACGAAATTGGAATAATATCACTAAAATGCGTAAGTATAGAAGCTCTCAACATGACTGGATTATCGTGATGAGCAGTTAAATCTGACTTACTCGAATTAGCAGGAGATACGATAAAACACGGTGATAACCTTTAAGTGTGTAAAAAACTTCATCCATGGTTACCACGTCGATAATTACTGTAAGATTTTACCTCTAGAAAGGTTGTTTATTATTAATTACTAAAACAAACTAATTGTGTGTGGCTGCTGTTGAATTGTATTTGACGGTTACAGTCGTCAGATTTCAGACTTTTTGTAGCATTGTAATTAATTTTCCTTGTGTAGACTAGCGAGAAATAAGCGTGCGGAAATGTGCGCATATCCCATACTTTAATTTATACGTGCTCAGTGTGGTTTTTATGCATCCACTACTTTATTTATGGTCTCTTTCGAGAACAGAATGATTCACAATGGCAGTCCAGATTCGTTATGACCGTCGTATCGACAATTATAATATGAACCAGTTTAGTTTGGAAGTAGAAGAATAAAACCGACTATGTCAAGGGATTTTGTTGAGAGTTTGACGTATGACATCCTATCTGGAAAAATTTGTTGAGCTGACGATGTTCCCGTTGTACGGCGTTCTTATTTCGTAGTCATCACCAGAACACTTTTTTTGGAGAACTTACATATGTTTCTAATGATTATCATATTAATTTTAGGGCGCTTTAAAGTGAAGACAGATATGTCTCTTAACCGTACAACGTATGTTGCGGTATTCATGTCTTTAAGAAAGGCAAACTGACAGTTAGAAACTTACGTGAAATACAATATATAGCTATATTTTGATGCAAATAACAAGTAATTTTCTCGACTTGCTGTTTTAGGGGCATAAGCACACCCATTCGGAAGCAAACCCAACTCGACACGGCCAGATGGTTTGGGTTCTGGGAGTAATTTCTCAAGTTCTTCATAAGTAACAATTTGGTAGTCTTTTTCCAGCACATCGGCAGGTGAAGTGTAAGTACTCTGGATCTGGGAGTTGGAAAAGTCCATTTCATTAACTTGAGGGTCATTATAACCAGTAAATGACAACGGAAAGTATAATGACTTTTGGTATGATGGTTGGTGGGCATACGCAACAGCACCGCTAGGTAAAGGAGAGACAAGACTGAGTCCTGGTTGAGGTAGTATGTACCCAGCTTGAGTTAGCATTATGGGTTGAATGCGATTTGGATCCATAAATCTAAAAAGAATGCCAATTTGAATTGAACTCAGTGACGAGAAAGTCAAAAGTAGATTCCAGGAACAACTGAGTTCACATCTAGGCAGTTCTGAAAACGAGGCTGACCCAGATGTTGCTTGGAAAGTTATATGAACAGCTGTAGAAACAGCAATAACATCTGTTAGTAATTTAAACGAAAGGGTTACAAAAAACCAATGGATTTCTAAGTCCGTCGCACTGATGGATTCTCGTAAACTCATCCCATCAGGCTCTGAACACTAAGAACGAAAACAAATCAGATCTAGGTTAACCAAAAATATAAAGAGCGACCATGAGCAGTGGTGGGCAACGAAAGCAAAAGAGATGGAAAAGGCAGCAGCTGTAAACAACACCAGACAGTTTTGCAGGCTAATAAAGGAAACCAAAATTAAGAAGGCAAGTGTAGGTGAAACGATCTCGGAAAAAGACGACACTTATCTTCTCAGTCTAGGCGTTTAGAACAATGGGCGAAACACTTTAAGGAGCAGTTCAGCTGGCCTTCAGCTACTCTATGGCTACCCACTATTTCCAAACAGCCTGAATGGAACATTAAAGTGGGCCCCCGACCCTAGCTGAAGTTCAAAAGGCTATAACTAATCTGAAACGAGGAAGAGCAGCTGGTCCTGATGGATTGGCTCCAGAGGTCTTTAAATATGGTGGTCCAATTTTAGTGACTAGGTTGACTAATATTCTGGCTAAAATCTGGGAGTTGGACTTAATCCCATCCGACTGGTCACAATCACTGATTGTCCCAATATAGAAGAAGGGGTCCAAATCATCCTGCGATAAACATAGAGGGATTAGTCTGACTAACACAGCATCTAAAATATTAGCCTCAATAATTATCGGGCACCTAACTAAGACTCGTGAACTGCAAACACGAAAAAATCAGGCTGGCTTCAGACCTGGTCGTGGCTGTATCGACCACATATTCACCATTCGTCAAGTTTTAGAGCACAGACATGCTTATCGGCGTCCGACAATGATAGTTTTTCTTGACTTGAAAGCAGCATTTGACTCTGTAGACCGAGAGGTTCTGTGGCAGTGTCTGTCATTGAAAGGTGTATCTGAGAAGTACATAAACCTTGTGGAGGCTCTTTACTCGAACACTACCAGTCGAGTAAGAGCTTATGGTGAACTGTCATCTGATTTTACAAATTCAAGTGATGTCCGACAAGGTTGTCCACTATCCCCATTTTTGTTTAACTTCATTATAGACCTGTTGCTGGAAATAACACTCTCGTCGACTGAATTTTCAGGAATTAGTCTCCTGCCAGGAGGTCCACTTATTGACTTAGAATACGCAGATGACGTAGTCCTGTTTGGTGAAGACGCTGACAAAATGCAGTCTTTTTTTAGAACTGAGTAATAATGCCAGGATGTTTGGAATGTGTTTCTCCCTCTCTAAATGCAAGTTTTTGCTCCAGGACTGGCCTGCGTCAACACCTGAACTGAGGATAGGGAGTGAAGTAGTCGAACGCGTCGACAACTTCACTTATCTTTGAAGTCTGATCAATCCTAATGGGTTAATGTCTGACGAAATCTCAGCACGGATTCAAAAAGCTCGTTTGGCTTTTGCCAACTTACGTCATCTATGGCGAAGACGAGATATCCGTCTATCAATTAAGGGACGGGTATACTGCGCAGCAGTTCGCTCGGTTCTACTTTACGGCTGCGAAACATGGCCATTAAGAGTAGAAGATACTCGTAGGTTACTAATATTTGACCACAGATGCCTTAGAAATATTGCTTGCATCTGCTGGGATAACCGGGTAAGCAATAGTGAGGTTAGGTATTAGGGAATAATGGTAAATCAGTTGATGAGGTGATGAATCTTCATCGACTGAGATGGTTGGGCCACGTGTTACGTATGCCTGAACACCGATTACCACGACGCGCTATGATGACTAGTATTGGGGATGGTTGGAAGAGTTAGGGGCGGCCAAACCAAAACATGGCATCAGTGTTTGAAGTCACTAACTTCTAGCCTGAGCCATGTTGGCAGATGCAGACTACCTGGTTGGGGTCCGCGTGACTATCGTAACCAATGGTTGGAGACTCTAGGTGACATGGCTCAAAATCGATCACAATGGCGTAGGTGTATACACATTCTGTCTTCTCTTAAACTGTGAGATTAAAATTGCTTCATATCTTTTTTCCTGTACTATATCCTTCTGTACAATCTATAATTTATATACTACCACCAAAACTAAATTAACTACTATGAATCCGGTGTTCATCTTGTTGCGCTAACAAGGTATGGCAACTTGGACCGATGCATATATGTGCCTGGTCCTACGTTGTAGCTGACTGAACTACAAAAAATCTAATCAAATCCCTTCGCAGACGTCGAATTACAGAAATAATAGAGTAGAAAAATACACTTAGTGATTCGAAAAATCAAACCAGTATTAAAAACCATGTAAAGGACTAATTACGATGTATTTCAGTATTCTATTTACACTGATTGTTATTACACTTTTATCGAGTTCTTCAAAATAAAAATGGCATTTGCATGTAAGTAATAAATGTTCCTCACTAAATACAACACGGCCTAAAAAGGTAATGATTCCATGACGACTGTGTTCAGCGAGACAGACCCAGATACCTAGGAGCGTAATGTAAGACACGAGGACCTTCGACCTATGCAGAGCTGAAGACAGTACGGTTTTTAATTTGCTGACTGGATTTGTAGTCAACATGCATACTGACGTTATCTTGTAACATTATTGTTGAAGTTTTGTTGGTAGTTAAATGAAAGATGTCTTTTTGGTCAGTCAGGATAATTATGTGGATTACGCAGAGAAAGTCCGTGGGCCGACAACAATCGTTGTAACGGTTTCATGAAACAGGCTTACACAGAACTAATGTTGATCATATCCCGAAAACTATCCAGCGTGTTGTCAGGTAAGGTCTCCTTGAATTACGTTTTATATGGTCACAGAGGTTGCGTAGAATCCTCATATTTTGTACTGAACAGAAGGATTAGTAACCGAGTAAGCTTAACTATCTAGTATGTTTTACATTCGTGAAGATAATCAGTGTTTAAATAATCAAGCCGCGATCTGACTGAAATACTATTCATATACAATTTGCATCTAATAATCTCGAAAACCACATCACACTAACATCAAACGAAATGACATGTTCCCTAATTTCTTCCATATTTGAAATAGTGGCGCTATTTAATCCGGTTAGAAAACCTCACGATGGACCGCGTTCAACTACGTGAACGCTTTTTGAAAATTTTCTCAGTGTCCGGAAACCTTGAATCAATCGGTGGAAAAGGAGTTGTAGGGATGGTAAGTACGATGTACTTCACGCATATTATGATTTACTTTTCCCTGTTAATTTCAGCAACCTGTCCTTTCTCCAGAATGTCCTGTTTTTCAGTATCACAGTCATATCCACTTCTCTATGGAATGGGCACACATGTGGGGAACGTTTCGGTTTGAAAGACACAATGGTACTAGTTTAGATGTTAAAATACCATCTTTCCCGCTGTATGATCCCACGTGTTCTTCAAACTCGAGTAATGAAAACCTTGGTTAATTATCGACAATCGTCTTCTTACGAGCATGGCTACCTGAAGTTGACGCTCCCAAGACCATAAACGATTACAACACGCACCAAAACATTGTAACCATAATAAATAAAAGGTTTAGATTTCTACCGAAATTCCGTTTATTTGTACTTCACAAAATGCGTCCAAATGATTTGCCTTACTTCACAATAAGAAAATGCACATCTATTCACTCATGAAATATGTTGCATAGTTCATTAACTTTAAAACCAAGAAGTTATTTTTGAAATCTGCAAGGTAACACTATAGGGAAGAAAATATCTCAAAATAAACAGTTTAATGAAAAATTAGGGTGCTTAATTAGCTTCAATCAATAACTCCCAGGGAGAGCACGGATAAGGGGAAATCTTGGCTTGTTTGTTTGTAATTAGAAAGTAAATGAAAAACAAATAATTTGATTTTGATATAGTTCTAATTTTTTAAACTCCTATTTGCATATAACTACGAAAATCTAGACCTAAGGCGCTTATCTGAAGATTTTCTGGGATATACATATATGGTGAGGTAGGATAATTAGTTTCTCTTTTGCATGGTGAAATGTAAGTTGTGCAATATACTTCGCGAAATGATTACACGTAAGGAAGCTTGAAGTAAAGCAGTAGTATATAGATACGTATGTACTGACAATAAATCATTTATACAAACAGGGTGGAATAAAAACAGTAACTAAGAAATCTTCAAAATAAAATAAAAGGCAGTTTAGACACCATATAGCAGTGGCCGTAACGCGGATTCTAATCACAGTACTTCCCGACTTAAAATAAAGCATTTGTAATGAAGATGAACAGCATAATTGTGACCGGAACGGTGGTTCGTGGGTATTCAGGATGAAACGGCCAGTAGTTATAGCTCTTTTTTCTACTTCCGTCGCTTTAATTATAACGGTGAAAAAGATAACTGGTAAGCACAGTTTCCTTCACTTGTCTATCCAATGAGCAGTGTGAAATTACTTGGAACAAATGACTGCACGATACTGGGTGATCACTTGTAGTTTCAGTAAATGATAATACAAAATTATGAATTTCATTATTTCGGAGACTCATGTACCAGTAAGTTTTTCCTTAATTCGCGTTGAAGACTTGTTTCGTACGTAGTCAGATTTCGGAATAATACGAGTTGGTTCGGTTGGTGTGCATGACGAATTGTTACGACTGTCATTATCACCGGCGCTAGTGGCAGTCATGTCTCCTATCCCAGAACTAACTGAATCCTCAGAATCATGAACTGAACCAGGAGAGGTAATTTTTTCAACTTGTTTGGAAAGCTTATGAGATTGATTGTCGTCAATAGCTGCGCATGTAGAATTTCCAGTTGATGAAATTAGCCCCGGTAACAAAGACGATCCACTATCCGATTGATTTTCAGATGCAAGAGATACATTTATTGCAGCATCAATTACCATATTATCTGCTGTTGTGTTGTTATCAAGATTTCCTTTTATGTCTGGAAACGTTGGTAACTCTTTGAGCATCGTATTATTGGCTACCGAAGTAGAGCCATTTGTGTTAATGACTGTGAGGTTAATGGGTATAGGCGTCAAACTTAATGAATTGAGTGTTCCACGTATCGACTGGCCATGGTTGTGACCCTGCCACCTTGTACCATTTATATGTGTGGGCAACTTAGGTTGTATATTCACGGGTGGTTGCAACAGTATAGGATAGATCAAGTTATTTGTATGTTGTGGGGGGTTCGGTACCATTAAGCCACATCTACTATCTGAGCTTAGATTGTCCGATGACTCAGAGACTGGGACATTTTGGACTGTTTGATATCCATAGCTTTGCATCGGATACACATTCTGTTGTAGACGTTGTAAAGGGTTCTGCGCGCCAGAAGATTGTAACGATAACTGTGAAGCGGTGTAGTACACTGGCAATGGTACAGGGGTGGGGATATGAAAAGGATTAGTTTGAGATACAGGGTTCTGAAAATAAGGTGTAGCATTCGACTGTTGTGCAACAGCTGACATGGCAGCTACTGCTTGGAGGTGATTCAAAAGTGCATTCGACGGTCGTTGTTGGTTGGCTCCAATGGGACTAATGTTTGAAGAATTGGTTAACAACTGGTTGGGGAAATATTGCGGTTGATTTCCATAGTGGTTTGAATTAATATTATTACTGGTGCTTGTACTCATTGATGCTAAAGCAGCTGCTACAGCTAGATTGAAAGGTTGATTAGTGTTACTTGTTTGTGGTATTGTAAATGGGACAGAATATGACTCTATAACATTCCCTGTCTGGCGAATGTAATAATTTGGCAAGTGCGTTTGACGCCGTATTGGTACTACACTTGAATGTGTACTGTTCGCAGCTGGGAGATGCGGGCGCTGATGATAGTCCCACCCGAACGGCTGATTTTTATTGTAATTTGTTGAATTTGGTTGATTTATAGACTGAGGAACTATCACATGTGCAACACGAGAATATGGATTATACTGTTTCGTAGGCCGTTCAAATATCCAAGGAGCAGTATTACGACAGGGTACTACTGAAGGACCCCCCGTGCCGGTACATTCTATATGAATATTGCTGCAGTTCTCCATGCCGCATAGAGGCAACAATAATGGAATGGACATTTGATGAGACGCAGGTGCTATGCAAACATTTGTTGTCACCGGGGTTTTAATTAAAGTACTTGTTTGTAGAAGCTCTTTACTTGTTTCAGGATTCATGTGTCCAGATCTTATAACGCCATCAGATCGGAATTTATCTGAACCAGCAGTTCTCAACACAGCTACGGATTGAGGACTGGTAGTAATTGGCTGATCAGGCAAATGTGGTGGTTGGAGAGAGAAAGACCCAATCAATGAGGTTAAATTCTGGGACGATGCAAAAGTCGATAATCCATTATCAGGTTGCACATTTATTGAAATATCTGGATTCGTGGACAGACCAGGATCTGAAATAAGAATTTAACACAAGCGATGAACAAGGTATACTTATTTTTAAATCAGAAAATAGAAACTAGTAGACAAACAGGGTGTAATAAGTCCCCTGATAAACAAGTTCTTAAATCAACCCTTAAATGAAAACGCAATTTGATTTCGGTAACCAAAGAACCTTTTAGGTTTTCTAACAAGAGAAATAGGGTGTTTAGTAGTTCATAATCAGAAAACGAAAAACTGCTTAGTGCGCACTGTCTAACATGAAAAATTTATATGCTCAAGCTAAATTAATCCTGCTGTATATTACACTATCTGTCAAAACGTAAATAAATGAAACCGTGACCAAGTGATGAAATGTGAAGTATGTAGAACCACAAATCCACATTTGAACTACTGAAATGTCAAAGGCAAGTGAAATCAAATAATTCTGAATCTAACGTAAATTTTAAAAAAAACTTACAACCATCAATGCGGCGAACACCACGCATTCCCGCATTCATATCTTCAACACAAACAATCTTACTGCCAAGTAAAGCTTTTTCCACTTCTTCATGAGTAGTATTTAGAGCTGCTAAACGAGGAGCTTTGACAAGCTTTTCGATTGGCAAAATCAGTCGATCAACAAGCATATTCAGGAACGTCTGATCCCGGCACAAGTTTTCTCGAGAAAAATAATGATGACTTAAAGAAAACAGCAAGATATTAATGCAATTAAAACACTATTTACGAAATTGGAATAATATCACTAAAATGCGTAAGTATAGAAGCTCTCAACATGACTGGATTATCGTGATGAGCAGTTAAATCTGACTTACTCGAATTAGCAGGAGATACGATAAAACACGGTGATAACCTTTAAGTGTGTAAAAAACTTCATCCATGGTTACCACGTCGATAATTACTGTAAGATTTTACCTCTAGAAAGGTTGTTTATTATTAATTACTAAAACAAACTAATTGTGTGTGGCTGCTGTTGAATTGTATTTGACGGTTACAGTCGTCAGATTTCAGACTTTTTGTAGCATTGTAATTAATTTTCCTTGTGTAGACTAGCGAGAAATAAGCGTGCGGAAATGTGCGCATATCCCATACTTTAATTTATACGTGCTCAGTGTGGTTTTTATGCATCCACTACTTTATTTATGGTCTCTTTCGAGAACAGAATGATTCACAATGGCAGTCCAGATTCGTTATGACCGTCGTATCGACAATTATAATATGAACCAGTTTAGTTTGGAAGTAGAAGAATAAAACCGACTATGTCAAGGGATTTTGTTGAGAGTTTGACGTATGACATCCTATCTGGAAAAATTTGTTGAGCTGACGATGTTCCCGTTGTACGGCGTTCTTATTTCGTAGTCATCACCAGAACACTTTTTTTGGAGAACTTACATATGTTTCTAATGATTATCATATTAATTTTAGGGCGCTTTAAAGTGAAGACAGATATGTCTCTTAACCGTACAACGTATGTTGCGGTATTCATGTCTTTAAGAAAGGCAAACTGACAGTTAGAAACTTACGTGAAATACAATATATAGCTATATTTTGATGCAAATAACAAGTAATTTTCTCGACTTGCTGTTTTAGGGGCATAAGCACACCCATTCGGAAGCAAACCCAACTCGACACGGCCAGATGGTTTGGGTTCTGGGAGTAATTTCTCAAGTTCTTCATAAGTAACAATTTGGTAGTCTTCTTCCAGCACATCGGCAGGTGAAGTGTAAGTACTCTGGATCTGGGAGTTGGAAAAGTCCATTTCATTAACTTGAGGGTCATTATAACCAGTAAATGACAACGGAAAGTATAATGACTTTTGGTATGATGGTTGGTGGGCATACGCAACAGCACCGCTAGGTAAAGGAGAGACAAGACTGAGTCCTGGTTGAGGTAGTATGTACCCAGCTTGAGTTAGCATTATGGGTTGAATGCGATTTGGATCCATAAATCTAAAAAGAATGCGCTTAATGAAGTTTTGTTTTTAAATATATTTCCTGTTACAAATAACTAAATGTTTATACATAAGAGTTTCAAACGGCAATCATTTTTACTCAGACCCAGATAATTTTAAATAACGGAAAT